CGTGGTGTTGGAGTGCGCAGGAATGTGGGGATGTATGCCGGAGAGTGTGTACAGGTCCATGCACATGTCCACATGCGTCTAATAAGTGTGCACACGTCTACCTGTGTACACACTTGTGAGTTCGCCCACACGTACTTACCTGAGCGCACACTTTGCTGACTGTACACTACATCTTGCTCTCAGGTTTGGCAGGCAAGACTTCCTGACCTCCAGGCCATCCCCCTGCTGCCCACCCCCAGCCGCCATAGGCCCCTCAGCAGTTGCCTCAGAGTTCACCCTGCCGCTTTCCCAACACCCATGGGGGCTCCTGGCCTGGAAAGTGGGCACAAGAGCTCAGAGCTTTCAGCGTCGCCGTGATGGGATGGCGCCGGTGCACACAGTGGGCAAATCTGTGGTGTTCCTCCATGATGCCAAGTAGGGAGGTGGGCATCAGGCCGCAGCCATGCACCGAACCCGGGATTACTGCTGCTGGGATGGAGCCTTGGGAGAAGGGAACATCTCGTGGGGGTGGGGTGTGGTGAGAAAACGTGTGCACGTGTGTATCCACGTCTGTGCCTGTGGTGGTCAGAGGTCAACATCCAGGGTGTGTCCAGGCTTGCCTCTGCCTTGATTGTTGGGTGACATATTCCGTTTGTGTGGACACCCGCCCGTACCGTGTGCACGTGTGCAAGTCAGAGGTCAGTTGGCACAATAGATAACATCCTTCCCCTGTGGCTCCCGGCCTGGGACTCAGCTCCGTGTGCTCGGTGGCTGGGTCTTTGCTCCCTTGAGCCTTCTTGCCTGCCCTCCACCTTATGTTTTGAGTCAGAATCTCCCACTGAACCCGGAGCTCATTAATTGATCCACCGGCTGGCCGCTGAGCCTCTGGGGATCTCCGCACACTGGGACTGCCGATGTCCCCCATCCGGCTCTTTTCCTGGGTGCTGGGGACCCAAACTCAGTCCCTCCTGTTTACCCAGCAGACGCTTTACCCACCGCCCCATCTCTCCAGCACCAAAAGGTGGGAAACTGAATTCCTGTTGCTGGCCTGGGGGCTGTGGGAGAGTGATGGGGAAGTACAGGAAATGAGGAGCGCATGCTGGGCTCACTGTGAGGCCAGACCCTCCACAGCATGGTGACTGACAAACATACTTGAACTCAAAACCCTAGTCCTCTCCCCACAAGCGCCTCCAAACACAGGCTTTCTGCCTGCCCTGCCCTGCTATGTGGCCGTCTCCACACACGTGGTGGACTCCTGTCCCGTGGCCTCTGCATCTGCCATCTCTCTGCCTGCTGCATTCTGTCCCTGAGTCATCTAACGGCTGACCCCCGCTTGACCTCCAGTTCATAGGCCCCGCCCTCTGCCCAGCCACTCACGGTCACCGTCAGTATGAGCGGTGCCACTCCACAGCTGAACACATCTGTTAGCCCGCCCTCGTCACGATGGATGGGCGAGGGAAGCGCAGCCCAGCCCCGGAGCCTGGGGAAGGGCGGGACGGGGTGTGTGAGGGAAGGGGAGCTCAGGGCAGCGAGCCTCCGAGCCTCCGTCTGGCTCCACGTGGTCAAAGCTCTTGATGTGCGCATCTTCACCCAAGCTCCAGCCGTCTGGGTGACCCTGGGGGCATGGTCCTGCAGCACGTCAATCTTTGGGGTGCAGGGAGGTCTGAGCGCAGACACCAGGTAGGGTCTTGACACAGGGTAGCTGGGAGGACAACGCTCTCCTCTCTGTAGGACGCTGGGGCCTGACCAGGCTTTGCAGCTCATGTGTGGCCTGGGCTGAGGGCCTTACAGAGGGCTGCTGGCTGCTTGGGAAGGCAGAGGTGGCCAGGATCTTGTCCAAAGCCATCAGGGACACTGGGCCTAGGAATGTGTGTGGGCCCTCCTTCTCTCCCTCTCCTCCCCTCCCCTCTACCTCTCTCTCCTTGTCACGGCCCCCTCTGCCCCCCTCCCTGTCTGTCTTCCTTCGGCCCCTTCTCCTCTCCTCTCTGTGCCTGTCAGCTCCCTCACTACAGGCTGCTTCCTCGGGATGCTCTGGGGCTCCTCAAGCCCATCTGTGCAGCCGGACACCGCACACACACACCCAGAAGCAGGCAGTGAGCTCTCGCCAGCTTTCCAGTACTCGCCCACTTCTCTCCCTTTCTAGATAAGATCTAGAAAACAACTGGATGTGCCCTAAGCTGTAACTCCTCGGGTCTTTGTGCACCCCGCTCCCTCCATCCTCAAGGGGAACCCAAGCCTAGAGCTGACAAAACCTTGCTGGATGAACAGGAAACCATGTCTGCAGATGCCCCAACCTTTGCTTAAGGAACTAAATCTTTACATGCCCAGATACTGTACTGTGCTCTGGTCTGGGTCCTGCCTCAGGGCCTTTGCACAGGTTCTGGCTCTAGAGACCTCTGTTTCTCACTGTGTGACTTTGGATAAATTGCCTAACTTCTCTGAGCTTCTATTTTCTTGATTCATAATAGGATGCTTGAGGGTCCAAGGTAGTAAGAGTGCTAAACACACACTTGACACTTAGGGCGGAGCAGGGTCCTTTCCCTTCAGGAGCCGGCTCCTGTCCCACCTCTCCAGTCACAAGGCCATGTGGCTGGGACCTCATTCAGGACAGTTCTCTGTCTCAGCCTCCACTGTAAGGACCAGCAGATGGAAATAGAAAGGGACCAGGTCATGCCAGGTGGTGGCACATGCCTTTAATCCCAGCACTCAGGAGGCTGAGGCAGGTGGATCTCTGTGAGTTTGAGGCCAGCCTGGTCTACAGAGTGAGTTCCAGGACAGCCAGGGCTACACAGAGAAACC